TCATCCGCATCCGCAGGTTTCGGGGCTGGCTGAGTCTGGGCAACAAGGGCAGCGACCTTTTCGTGGATCTTTGTCGGCGACCTAGGCCGAGTCTTGAATCCAATCGGTTCTCCGAACGAAATAGGCTGACCACTCGGCTTCGGCTCGTCCTCAACCTGCTTCTTCTTAGAAGAGTCGACCAGAGATATGACCTGGGCGGTTGGCTTCTCCTCGGACACAGACTTTTTGGAAGAGTCTATAAGCGACACCAGTTTTGGCTTGGGTAAGAGCACAGGCTTCTCTTTCCCTTGCTTCGCCGCCTCTGCGGCTTTAGGGCCCTCTGTCTTTGGCTCGAACTTCTCCGGCTGAGGCAGAGTTGGCGTCTTCACTGCTGGTGCTTGGGCCGCAGAGGCAGGGGCAGGCCCTTCGGCCGTCTTCGCCACTGCTGAAGGAGCCTTCCTCTTAGGGCCACGGGCTCGGCTCTTCGTCATGTGCGTTAACTGAGGGCCAGGGGCAGAGGGCGTCTCTGCTGCAGCTCCTCCTGAAGTCGCCTGTGGTGATGATCCAGCAGCGGATTTGGGCGAGCCAGAGCCTGCACCTGGCGGTCCACGGGCAAGGATTCCAGCCAACGCCGGGTTGAACCTTCCTGCGAGACCACTCGCCGCAGCACGGCCTTGAAGACGTCCTGGCGCACTAACCTCCTTGTGCAGCGTTGGCATACCAGCAGGTGGCTCGTTCTCCGCCGCGTCGGACTGCTTACGTGGGGGAAGCTGCGAGGTGCCGGCTGAGTCGGTTCGGGAGATGGAAGATATTGTGCTGGACCTGTCGGAGCTGTTGGTTTCGGTGGGCGTTTGTGGTGGGAAGTCTGAGGTAGCCGAGTCTCGCTTGTTGACGGTAGCAGACCGCTTGATCTCGATTGTCTTGAGCAGCCCCTCGGGGATCGACTTCTCCTCAGCAGGTTTGGGAGCAGTTTTGACGCTGCGGCCCTCCTCCTGAGCCTTCTTGAAGTCCTCCTTCTTCTTCAGAATTGCTTCCTTGAACTCGTCCTTCCTCTCTGAAGGTTTCGGACCACCAGTGAAATTCAAACCAGCCTTGCCCCTGAGAATGTTATTCTTCAGTTCGTCCGGCGCTTTGTAGTTCTGGGTTTGGGTCCTGCGCAGTTTGCCGAACACGTTCTTGAGCTCGTCAGGAGCGTCGGATGTACCGGTCCCAGAGGGAGCCACACGCGGTTTCAGGTTCCCCCGGAAGTCAATATCCTTCTTTGGTGGTGTTTGCGGCTTCGTCTTCGTCCGAGACGAGGATTCCGAACTACCTTCTGGGCCATCTTTGTCCGAAATCCGCCTGCCAAGGTTCCCGCGGAAGCCGCCGACTGCTGGCTTATCACCTGACGGCAGTCGAGGCGAAGACAAGTTGCTCGCCCCTACCGCAGCTGGTTTTGCGCCAGTGCCCATCGGGGTGGACTTCATAAGTCCCCCAGTCTTGACTTCGTGTCTCCGTGCGACAGGGGAGGTCGAGCCCGGTTCGCCAGCCCCAGTCTTCTGCGCTTTGGCATTGTTCAGCGCGACCATCCACGCGGGTTGCTGGGAAGCAGGCGGTGTAGGCTTTGGCTTTGGCGACTCCGGTTTGTTCAACGCTGCGTCAAGCCAGCTAGACTTGGTAGGGCTCCATCTCCGCGGATCCATGGTCTTCGAGGGACTGACAGGCAGCGGCTCCTCGTCCTTCTCTTTCGGCTCGGCTGCCGGCTTCTCATCATTCTTGCTAGCCTTTTCTTGAGCCTCTTGCTGTTGGCTGTGACTTGTCGTAGGTCTGGATGTAGGAGTTGTTGTGCCCCTCGACGTAGGGCGTGAGGACCGCGTGGGCGTTACGGAACCGTCGCGTAGCGTGCTGTTCTGCCGAGAGTGAGTGAGCGACGTTCGATGAGGGTTGTCGATGCTGGAGCGGCTCGAAACAACGGAGTCAGCTCGTTGCAGACCTGCGGGCGAGTTTACGCTCCACCGCTTGACGCTGTCCGACCTCTTCATCATTGCACTTTGCACAAAGCCACCCATTCCCTTCGTAGGCGACAACGGTCTAGTAGGCGATGCCCGTCCACTGGGTGTCGTATCTCTCTGGCTGCTTGGCTCAGGTGTCGGGGGCTCGAGTCGTTGCGCTGGACTGAGGATCAAAGGCGACCCGAGCTTTGCACGCATACCGGGAGAGGCCGGCCGGATGTCTGGCGCCTCTCTCAGCGGCTCAGCCGAATTTTCGCGGGACATTCCGGGGAGCTGTGCGCGAGCCGATGCCATGTCGACGGTATCTGGATCTTCCACCTGGTTCCGGCGGAAAGCTGCAGAAGCCTGTCCCCGGTCCGCTGTCTGACGAAACCACGTCGGGTCTTTTCCGGCCAATGCCTTGGCAATCTGGTCGCGCGACGGCTCTTGTTCAGATGAGGTCTGCTCGGCAGGGGTCGAGGTGCGGGAGGCCGCGTTTTCTGCGGCCACGACTGACAGCGGCCGGCTTTTGGGTCGGTCTGAGGCCTGGGATTGTGGCCGTCTCTGCCAAGACAGACCGCGAGGCGGACCGCTAATCGTGGAGGAGGTCGATTGCTTCGTGTCGGCGTCGAATGGAGACTCGTTCTCCTTCGTATACTCGCTCGAGCCGGCCATCATTGTGGAAGTGGCGGGGCTGCTGAAACTCTCGTGGCGCGGGGATGAGGCGTGTATTCCTAGCCCGCTCGGTGTTTGGGAAGAGGTGCCGTCTCGGGATGGAGGAGGCGGCGTGTTGGCTGGAGAGGATTTTTGAGGGGATATTGATCTGGCTCGTTCTGAGGGCACGAGACGCTGATCAGCTTGCTGCCACAAAGGTATTTCGTCTTTGCTTTGAAGCGACTGGCAGTTGTAGCGAATGCCACAGTCAATTGGCCAGAATCGAGAAGTTGCGAAAGAGGTTGAGGTCGCAGGCAGAACTTGAACGAAAAGAAGTGCATATTTTTGTTCAAGTTGGCGGGGAACAATCGTTGATGCCAGTGTCAAAGTCGACAGTCATAGAACTCACCTGCACGGCGTGCTTGTCTCTCTGACCTCTCTCTCAGGAACTTCTCCTCCAGTTCTCTCGATCGCGCTTCGTCTTCCTGCTCGCGTCGTTCCTTGAGCTCCTCTACGGACCGCAGAAAGTCGGAAACCTCGTCGGACATGGCTGTGTCGAAGTGTGTGTGTTGACACCGGATGCAAGGTGTAATCGTGCTCCAAAAGCAGATAACCGGGCCAACGATTCAGGAACGGGGACGGGGCAATCCGCTGCTGCGAGGGAACCACAACCACTAGAAATTCACTGGTGAAGCTTTTGCCCAACTCGACGTTCCACAGACATTTAAATGCACGCAACGGCGTTATGCAGGACAATCAACCCGAACTTCAATGGGCCCGAAAGAGTGATGGTCGGTAGGCGTATGGCTGCGTGTGCGCAGATGGTTGTACAAGAGGGGTCAATGTTTGTTTTTGTTTACGAGAAGAAACTCGAAGCCACACATGGAGGTTATTGATTGTTAGCGCAGCGGCTTCCACCTTCCGCCAGTTCGCGATTCCTCCCGCTCGTCATCAAGGAAGGCGCGACGGATTTAGCGACCCCACATCATCCCACTGTCTCAGGGGTCTGTAGGTGCACGGTGCAGCGGGAGGAAGCGTCACAAAGAAGCACTGTTTCATCATGTCCATCATGCAAAACATGCAGTCCACCATGTCAACCATGCTGTGAGGACATTCGCAGCTGCCAATGCCTTTTCTCTACGAAGTATAGTGCAGTTGATGGTCTTTGGTGCGTCGATGGTTCCCTCCCACGTGCCATCGGCCCTATGTTGTGCTCTCACGTGCTGCCATCCTCGGTTCCAGCTCTTCGGGTGAACATGTAACACCAGAACGGCTCGGTATATAGCCGCATCCCGGTGCCATCTCATGAGATTCCATATCTCGATGACCAGCCTGCTCTCTCTTCACTCCAGCTAGTTCCACTAGGTATTCAGTAGAGGAACAGCCTAGCCTTAGCATCCTCAACAACCCAAGCCAGTCCCTCCTCCAGGTTCTCGCCCGTTATGCCACTGCACTGCAATATATTCCAACGATGTGTCTTGATAGCCTTCAGCTGGAGGGCGTGTAATATCTCTTCGCTCGTCATGCATCCTGTGACGTCCGACTTGTTGGCGAAGACGAGGAGACTTGCTCCCGATAGACGCTGTGTTTTTGGTTGTTAGCATTGGCAATGGAGATTGGGATAAAAGGGGGAAATGCAAACCTCCTCCTGAAGCAACCCGTGCAACTCCTCCTTGCAGTCGTCCATCCTCAGTCTGTCGGTGGCATCGACCACCCAGATGAGTGCGTCTGTCTTTTCGAAGTAGTTGCGCCAGTATGAGCGCAGGGTCTTTTGGCCGCCGACGTCCCCTATCTTTGTGTGAGTTGCCGGTTTGAGGGCAAATATCACAACGAAGAAGACATACAGATGTTGAGCTTATACCTGCCATCTGGTTAGTCACAGCATCTCGAAATGTTGGGAGAGTCACTTACCCCTGGTAGTCAATCGTCTTGATGATAAACCCCAGCGTAGGGCTGACGGTGTTTACATCCTCGCCCATGATCCTCTTGACGATGGTGGTCTTGCCCGCATTGTCAAGTCCTCTGTACAGTTAGCTTTGTGCAGCTTGCCAATCATACAAGAAGAAGATAACTTACAGCATAAGGATCCTCAATTCCTTGTCCTTAAGCCGTGCTTTTCGGAGGATTGACAACATGGTTCCTGAGTTGTGCGATGTCGGGAGTTGGAGGTCGTCTCAAAACGGGTCTCGAATTGTGTCGCATATCTCGGGCCCAAAAGTGACACTTAGACGAACATGTCATACAACGACAGTGCTGCAGCAACAATGTTCCATAAACTGCAGGAAAGTACGACTGATAGCCGCATGGACTAACAATTGAAAAGGTAAAAAGGAGAGTGCCGAAATGTCAAACCATCAAAAAGGGGTAAAAAAACACGACCAAAATCGAGAAAAGATCAGGTCCTGCCCGGACTCGAACCGGGGTCGCCGGAAGATTGAAATAATCAGAATCCGAAGTGATAACCAACTACACTACAAGACCGTTCCTTGTTTGATGTCTGCGAATCTGGCAAAGTGGTTCAAGAGGGGTTCTGATTTGGGAATGTGTCGGGGATTCTCGGCTTTGGAATGTGGGCTGAAACAGTTATTAGTCAGCAGTCAAGACCCTTGGCAGCCCATACGCTGATATCTTACCTTCTGTCAATATTTCGCTCCTCTTCATGTTCTCTCCTTTTACTACGAGAGTGTGGAATCACTTTGAAGGACTTGGTACTACTCTGTCCCGATGTGGCTGGACTCGTGCTGATGAACCCAGGGGTTCATCCCCCCAGGGCTGATGGACGGGAGTACCCAAGCTTGTAGAAAGGGACGTCGGCGACGATCAACGGTGCGTTGGGCCGATCAACCTTCCAGTAAGACTTCAGTGAGAAGGTTTGAGTGGTTTGAATTAGACCATGAGGGTCCCAACAAGCCATTGGTCTGTCATCCCCAATTGTATCTTGGCATCAACCGAGTTTCCGCCGGTGTCGATATGCTGAGGAGGAGGGAACGTGCGGAAGGATGAGATTGGATAGGACCTGAATACAGCTCCAAGCAGCAGCTGACCGCTCGTGTCAAGATGCCGACTCGTTCTGAGACGAACATTACCAGTGGCGTGGGACCCGAGATGGGATGAACTAAGAGCACAGCAGATGCCGGATGGGCCTCGGAGGTTGTATAACAGAACCGCCTCCTTCGAGAGACAACGGCAATGCTTAAGATAAGAAAGGCTTTCAGGACTCCCGTCGTTAGCGACTGCGACGGAAAAGGTCTGGCCCGTCACGTATGAATTTTTAACTCGTCCGAGTCCGAGACAACAGCAGTCGTGGTTTCGACATTCGTAGTTGCCAACCCGGGCGCTACCGCCACAACTTGCTCATATGCACGCAACGCCGTACCAACGGTCCCATTACTCCATGATAAGGTAACTTGCCTACCTTAGATATTGACACTGGACCGAGAAGGGCTCGGTCTTCAGTGAGTTTATATCAATAAATTTAAGTTCAGTTCTACAAACCTTTACCCAGCTGCTCGGCCAGAACTTTCACGTCTTCTTTTACAAAAGGAACAACTTCTCAAACTTCCAGGCCACTCCTCCTTCTTCGTTCATCTTTCCATTCACTCCTCGCAACATTTTCACCTCATTTCCCACAATCCTCTACCGAACCGAAACCAAAACCAAACCCATCCACAACCGGCCAAAATGGACATGACAATGGATATGTCTCCGACGGCCACCTCCGGCATGCCCGCCACCACGTCCGCGGCGATGGACATGGGCGGCATGGACATGGGAGGCGACTGCAAGATTTCCGTATGTATCTCCCTTTCCCTCTCCCTATCACCCATTCCTCATACTAATCCTCCTGTCCTCCTCCTTAGATGCTCTGGAACTGGAACACAATCGACTCGTGCTTCATCGCCCGCAGCTGGCACGTCACCTCGTCCGGCATGTTCGCGGGCTCCTGCATCGGCGTCATCCTGCTCGTCATGGTGCTTGAGCTCCTCCGCCGGTCCGTCAAGGAGTACGACCGCTACCTCGTCCGCAACCACGCCGCCGCCTCGCTTCGGGACAACCACAACGATACCGCCGACCCCAAGACAGCTTCTGGCTCGCCCGCTCCTCCGGTGATGACCGCTCGTGGGTTCAGGCCGACCATCTTGCAGCAGGCTGTCAGGGCCCTCCTGCACATGGTGCAGTTCGCTGTTGCTTACTTTATTATGCTGTGAGTTGGAAGCAGATGGGGCTGCGAGAGAGGATGGGAGGGAGGAGAAGCAATGCTAATGCAGGGAACAGGTTGGCCATGTATTACAATGGCTACATCATCATCTGCATCTTCATTGGTGCTTATCTCGGCAGCTTTGTCTTCCACTGGGAGACTATCGGCGGCAGGCGAGTACATCTGAAGGAGAGGTATAGCCTTGGGCTCAGCTAATAGAGTGTGATCACAGCCCGGAACTCCAGACCACTGCCACTCGAGAGGCGACAGTGTGCTGCGGCTAGATGGACATGTTTCTTGAGCAGTCGAGCAGGGATGGATCATCTTTACTGAGGAGAAGCAGCGTCTCTGAGCTTTGATTTTCTGCGCCAGGGAGGAGAATTGGAAGATATCTCCCAGAAGTCCTGCATGGCGTGTCAGTGTCCCGGTCGGGGCCTCGTACAAGAGGTAACTGCGCCAGCACTGCGGCTTATCCGTTCGATCCTAGATCCTCGGGTTTTCACCCACACAATATCATGCTGTGCTGAAGAGGTCTAACATCACCAGCTCATCAAATGATGGTATCGTGAAAGATGATGAATCGTCCAATGAAGGAAGTCGTCAATTTGATGACAAGCCCACAGTAAACGATACTGAAAAGAGATTAGCGTGTGCACCGGGCCGCTAAGCATTCTCTCCCGCCACAGTTTCCGGTTCTTCCAGGCCCATGAACATGTCATGACGTCCTATCTCAAACTTCCACCTGTTTGTTTGAAGTGATGCGCCCTTTCGAGTCCCGTCCTGTCCAGGTAGCTGCTGCTGATTAATTATCTATGTGCAGGGCACCCCTTTGGCCATTTCCCTGCAGGATCCCGTGCTTGCGCCTCGTGCCCAGGCCAGCCAAAGAGGTTCTTTGACTGCATATCGCGTCCTCGACGGGAGCCTTCCCTTTCTTTGATCGACATCCAGTTGGCCACCAGCTTACCTTACCTTATTCCACCTCTTGGCCGGCTTAGCTTATCATCTTTAACTTCAACTCTTCATCTACAACGCCTTCGCATAGACTGTTCGACTATTCGGACTATTATTGTGATACCTACCTTCTGCCGAGACAGTGTGCGACGATGGAGTCGTCCGGAGGGATGGACAATGACACCAAAGGGTGGATCATGTGCATCGCGAGCGGCATTGGTGAGCTACCTTATCCCCCCTCAACCTTTCTGGACTATCGCATCGGCCATGGATGTTGACAAGATGTTCGCCAGCCTGTGTCTTCGGCGCATCTATCATCTACGTCGACTACATCGTCCGCTTGTTTCCGAGCCAGAGACAGTTTCGCATACAGGATAGTAATATCTTCCTGGCATGCTCATTCAGTCTGAGCTTCGGCGTAATGGTAAGTCTTCGGTCTCAAAATCACAAGACGGAGGACACGACTAACCCCAGCCCAGATATTCTCGGCCCTGTATAGTATGCTACCGACCTCGATGCGCTACCTCAAGAAGGGTGGAGTAGACGACCACGCGGCCGGCTTCATCATGATGGGCTACTACGTCCTTGGCTTCTTCGGTATCCAGGTGATCTCACGGGTCATCCACCAGTTCATCCCCTCGCACGTCGTCGACTGTGACCACTCGCACGAAGAGCCTCCGAAGGAGGAAGGGGATCTGGACTCCCACGGCCACGCTCGCGTCTCACGAAGCCGGAGCCGCAGGATGTCAGACCGCCGGCCCTCCTTGCATCCGTCTGTCTCTGCACCAGGTATCGGACTCGAGACGAACGGAGATGCTGTCGAGTCCACACCACTCCTACCCGCTGTTCCGGAAGAGAATGGGTACAGCACAACTGGTCGACCAGAAGCGCCGAGACAGCTCTCGACTAGAAGCGAGATGCAGTCTTCTACTTACAGTCCCCTGAAGGGAGCTCGGAGTCGGGCATCTACCAACCGGACGAGGCGGCCCTCGATGATGCAAGTGCGTACCAGGCTCATCTCTTTCGTCAAAGACACGAAACCAAATTGCGATCAGTACGGTCCCTGCTTCGGATACACGGATCCCTGCGGCCAGGAGTGCTTCAAGCACCTAAGCAGCCGGCACGCTTTCGACAAACCTTCTCTCTCGACTCTCCGCACGAATACCATGGCCTTCCCTATACAGGAGGAGACGGGAGACGGAAGAGACTCGCCCACATCCCTAGTCAGCCCTACCTTCCGATCCAGTCGAGCGCAATCTCGCGATGCGGCTCACCACGCCGACTTCCCATCCCATCACCCACACAGCCACCACGACGACCACGAGCACGCCTGCGACGACGACTGCTCTCAAATGTCAGAAGACGTCGAAGCCCAGCACCACCACCACGTCCCCACTAACGCCTTCCTCTCCATAGGCCTGCAGACGGTGATCGCCATCGCCCTCCACAAGTTCCCAGAGGGCTTCATCACCTACGCCACCAATCACGCCAGCCCGTCCCTGGGCTTCAACGTCTTCATGGCCCTCTTCGTGCACAACATCGCCGAGGGCTTCTCCATGGCCCTGCCACTCTTCATGGCCCTCGGCAGCCGGTGGAAGGCCATGCTCTGGGCGTCGCTCCTGGGCGGGTTCAGCCAGCCGCTCGGCGCCGGCGTCGCGGTGGCGTGGTTCAAGATTGCGAAAAGATCGGACATCGTCATCGACGAGGTGTCGTATGCGTGTCTGTTCGCCGTGACGGCGGGTATCATGACGAGCGTTGCGCTGCAGTTGTTCGTGGAGAGTTTGAGTCTCAACCACAACAGGAACTTGAGCATCATGTTTGGTTTCCTGGGGATGAGTCTGTTGGGGTTCAGCAACGCGCTTGTTTCGGATAACCACTGAGCATTGCGGCCGAGTCTGTTACGATAGGGATGATGGCATGGAGTTGTGGTTATCATCAGGCGGTTCGAGCCGTTCTTTATGCGCATTTGATTGCTTTAAAAGGCGTTTTTGGCTTTTGGTCCAGTATACTTAGCATTCCGGTTTAGAAAGGGGTCATAGGGTGAAAAAGGCTGAAGATAGGACTTGTTCCAGCATGAGGTTACAACAAGACGATACTGAGTGTCGAGAGTTTACTTGACCGCTACCACTGTGCAATTTCTCAGCCTTGTAGTGCTCAGCCTTGTAGTGACTGTTCGACGCTGATGCGCATCAACCCATCATCGTGATCGAGTCTGTAGTTACTCGAAGCCATGTGATTTCAGCAGCACATCGAAACAGCCAAGACAATTTCACCACTGACCAGCACGCCGGTAGAAGTGGAGCCTGAACCCCTGTCTAAGCTATCCCGATTG